TTTTGCACTACTTCGTTAACTTCCCAAACCAACTTCTTTCTTTGCTGTTTTTTTTTCTCCCAGAGTGAAATTATTTCCTTCAGAGGATATCCCAGTGAGGAGTATGAAGTAGTGACAGAGGATGGTTATATCCTCACTGTTAACAGAATACCTCATGGGAAATCCAGTCAGCTGAACAAGGGTGAGTGTTTTTGGAGGAGAGAGGACACACACACACACATTCAGAAACATAATTTTTAGGCTAAAACTACAGAATCCCCCCACCAGGGTCTATGTCGGCTTGAAGTTTCTGGTAATTGTGGTCTAAAAATTAGAAAACTAATTTTCCTGAGCTTTGTGTAAGTTGTTAAATAATGTGAAACATTTCATCTGGAAACATGATAGGTTTTTGTTTTGAAGAATTTTTGTGTTTTGCGCTTATGGCAAAAGAAAAAATATTCAGTGCGTTCAGCAGTGTATGATTATTGAAACTACTATCATTTACAAATAAATTAAACATTTTTAGCCCAGTAAGGCAATTGGTTGGAGTATAAGCTTTGTTCTTGATTGATTTCCTTCCCCCAAATTAGAGGCCCCCCCCCCCCACTATTGGGTCGCATTGGAGTGTAGTGAAAGAAAGGTTTAGAGGATTTTGGTGGGTTTTAATTACATATGTGACACAATTTCAGAGTGATACTAATTTAGGATTGCCCCCATTCCCAAGATCAAGCCATGCTGAACTCTAGAGAATTGGCAGAATACAAATTTTGCTGTTCTAGAAAATTGGTGGGCTCATGTAACCACTCTTTTCCTGTAAGTGTGAGAATAGGCCCTTTTGTTTTTCTTCTTTCAGCAGTCGTTCAGCTTTTTTAAACAGAGTACCAGGTAATACACTGGGATTGGTAAGCTTCTCTTTTTTAAAAAGTGTATACTTGTTATATAAAAGTTCTATGCTAACATATTGTAGGTCTCTAATAATAGGGAGCATTTCTAAATCGACCAATATATTGTAAGCTTTTTGCTGTGCCATTAAAAGCAATTAGGATAAATATAATTAGGAGCGTTTGGAAAGCAGACGCTGAAATAATTTGTTTCGCAGGCTTAGATCCCATGACTTCCTGGAGTGACTTTTAGGTCGAAGGCTAAGTTCCTTTGGGAAGAATCTGTCAGGATCACTAAGTGGAGGGCTGGGTTAAACCCAAGATTGCCTGGAGGTAGAAGCCAAAAGGAGGGCATCCCAACCATTTTCTCTGTTTCTTCCTTCACCAGCCTCAGCGTGCCTTCCTTTCTTTACTTCTCCCTTTCAGCTTTATGGGAGAGGCTCAAGTCCTCCCCACACAGACTTGTACTAATCACAGGAGGTGATTAAATTATGCCACACCAAACCCTAGAGTTATGTTTGTCTTTCCCAACCAATTCCAAATCCAGGCTGACCTAAATATTTCCTGGAGGGATATCCGTCCTCCCACTTCTTTTCTTCTAGGAATTGCATTCGGCACAACTTAGAGGTCACAACAGCTAAGCTTCAAAATTGCCTTTTTGGACTTCCCGAATCCCTGTGGCTTTGGCAGCTGGGGCCTTCTTTCAAGTTGAAGTCCAGTTTATTTTTTTCCCCATGTTCTGTGTTGCAGGCTGTTGTCATTCAGAACTGCTAGGTTGAGCAAGCAAAGTTGTTACACAGTAAAAAAAAAAAAAAAACCTAAAAAGTAGTTGTGGAAGTGGAAACATTTGTAGCAGAGATGCCCCATTGGGCATTGTGATTTGTTTGCAGCTTTCTCTTCAGTTGTGTCGTCACTGAAAGGAGAAAAGTTGGAATAGCCTGAGACTATATTTAGAAAGTTAAAGTAATATATAATTTAAAAGGTGAAATCATTACTTGGTCTGAAGACTATAGTGGTGCCTCGCTTGACGACGTTAATTCATTCCAGCGAAATAGCTGTAGAGCAAAAACGTCATCAAGCGAAATAAAAGCCCATTGAAATGCATTGAAAACCGTTCAGTGCATTCCAATGGGCTGAATACCTGCTCGTCCAGCAAAAATCCTCCATAGGGGCGGCCATTTTCGGTGCCTGTAGTGCGAAAAATGCCTCCTAAAAACAGCGGGGAGCCATTTTGAGCAGCCAGCGGCCATTTTGAAAACCCGATGATCAGCTGTTTTGATCGTTGTAATGCAAAGAATCGGTTCACGAAGCAGGGAACCGATTGTTGCAAAGCGAAAAGACCCCCATTAAAACATCATTTCGCAGTTGTGATCGCAAAAACATCATCGGGAAGTGGATTCGTCATTATATGGGATAATTGTTAAGCGGGGCACAACTGTATACTGTAAAAAGATGGTGTCCTGAGCCTCGTATTTTCAATGCTGAGCTATTATTGCTTAACCTTTCTGCTCCTGTTTGGAGGGGGAACAGACATGAGCAAAGGATCCTTCCAGTGTAGTTGGTACCTTTATCACACAGCCACTGAAATTCTGATGCACATAGTTGGTCTGTTCTTGTTATAGGGAGCAAATCTTATGCTTGATAATCAAAGCGGTGCTGGTAAAAGCAATGCAGGTGGAAGGAACTTTCCCAAGTACAGTGGTGCCTCGCTTAACGATTGCCTCGTTTAGCGATGAATTCGCATAATGATGTGTTTTTTTAGAAAATAATATGCACCGTATAACGATGTTTCCTATGGGCGATTTTCGCTTAGCGAAGTTTGGGACCATGCTTCGCATAACGAATGCGATTTTAGGTCCCCTGCTTCAAATAGTGTGTAGCAATGTTAAAACTAGAAGACAACAATTACTACTGTGGCTCAACCTTATAATACTCATTGGCGATCCAATTGAATATCTTTCCATCTTTTAATTAGTCTTTCACTGTAAACAAATTGCCGAAATGATTCTTTAAAAACATAATTGGAATTTGTACCATTCAAGTGCCCTGCGTGTGGGGACAAAAAATCTACACTGGGATGCCATCAGCCACAGTTACTTCAACCTCTTGCAGATTAGCAAAGTAGTACAGCAAGTACCTCAAAATGTTTAGATGGTTTTAATCCAAATATAAAAGCAAAGGGTATCCCAAAGGATTCATAGAAGAAACATTTCATGAACAGAAACAATAAACTGTAAATATTTTGAAATATGTGAAACATTAAACAACTTTAGATGCATAGATCTATACCAATTACAGTGGTGCCTCGCTTGACGATGTTAATTCGTTCCAGTGAAATAGCTGTAGAGCAAAAACGTCATCAAGCGAAATAAAAGCCCATTGAAATGCATTGAAAACCGTTCAGTGCATTCCAATGGGCTGAATACCTGCTCGTCCAGCAAAAATCCTCCATAGGGGCGGCCATTTTCGGTGCCTGTAGTGCGAAAAATGCCTCCTAAAAACAGCGGGGAGCCATTTTGAGCAGCCAGCGGCCATTTTGAAAACCCGATGATCAGCTGTTTTGATCGTTGTAATGCAAAGAATCGGTTCACGAAGCAGGGAACCGATTGTTGCAAAGCGAAAAGACCCCCATTAAAACATCATTTCGCAGTTGTGATCGCAAAAACATCATCGGGAAGTGGATTCGTCATTATATGGGATAATTGTTAAGCGGGGCACAACTGTATACTGTAAAAAGATGGTGTCCTGAGCCTCGTATTTTCAATGCTGAGCTATTATTGCTTAACCTTTCTGCTCCTGTTTGGAGGGGGAACAGACATGAGCAAAGGATCCTTCCAGTGTAGTTGGTACCTTTATCACACAGCCACTGAAATTCTGATGCACATAGTTGGTCTGTTCTTATTATAGGGAGCAAATCTTATGCTTGATAATCAAAGTGGTGTTGGTAAAAGTAATGCAGGTGGAAGGAACTTTCCCAAGTAATTCTTTAGACTGGTGTTTTGATTTCCTACACCGGTAAATTGTAGGAGTTCAAGGTCTTTTAGACTCTTTGAAAAGCCTAGGTCCCTTTTATCTTTTATATTCTGTTCAGGATAAATGTGTCCTCAGTCTCTTGAGGTCAGGCCTGCTCTGTGTCTATGGTAGGTGTGGAATGATCACAGGGACTAATTAATAGGAATATTGTGATGCATTAGTCTCTGGAAGGTGACACTGAAGCTCTTGATAATAACCCTGTTGTATTTTATTGACTTCTTTATTCGTATCTTTTGGGGTGTTGTCTATAATTTACTTTTATTGCTATATATTGTGTTTTTACTTTGTTAACTGCCCAGAGTAGTGTTTTGCACTAATTGGGCAGTAAAAAGATGGAATAAAGTAATAAAGTAATAATAATAAAGAATAAAATATTTCCCTTTCAGATCCTAAACCAGTGGTGTTTCTGCAGCATGGTGTACTTGCTGATGGCAGCAACTGGGTGACAAACCTGGACTATAATAGCCTGGGCTTCATATTGGCAGATGCTGGCTATGATGTTTGGATAGGAAACAGCCGAGGGAACACTTGGTCCCTAAGACACATAAACTATACAGTGAAAGATGAAGCATTCTGGAAGTTCAGGTAGCTTGCTCAACAAAATGGCATCCTGCTTGGTTTCTCCCCCCTCCCACTTTGGAAAATATAATCAGAGCTACGTTTCCTATTAATAATTTTGTGTATTCAAAAGTTTAATGTGTGGGGACTGAATACGTGGATAAATGGAGTAACCCTAAAGGATGAAATTTGGCCTCAGTGAAGCCACTAGGTGTTCACAAAGGAGTTTGGCTTGAGGGACAGCAAGGCGCATCGTACACAAGTCCCGATTGCTGTAGAGCTCTTCAAGCTTGTCTGGGATGAATTAATGACACTCCCCCCCCCCCACACCCACGCACCATGTTGTGTTTTTCTTTGAAAGTGCCTTTTAAATATGTCTCTCCTGCTGCTCCCTGTATTGGAAGCAGATAGGGAGAAAAATAATTTTGGTGGGAAAAATGAGTTTTGAGAGGAAGGAGATAGAGGTTTCTAATCTGTCTGTCACATACTTTTCCTTCATTTCAGTTTGTGTCCTGCTTTACTCCCATGAGTCAAGGCAAGTCACTGTAAAATTACATAACGTGAATGCAAGAAAAACAAAAAAAAATTAAACAAGACTTAAAAAGCACACCAGCTGAAGGAAGATGCAGCAGTTAGCAGTGGTCAGTTTAATTGTGACAGGGTCTTCCTGAGTAAAAACCTTTGTACCTGCTGGCAGGTTGGCAAAAAGACAACTGTGAAGGGGGCTCTTTCTGCCGATGGTTTATAAAAGCCTAATGGCTGTTCTGGCTCTGCTGAGGTAATGCCTAGTTTGGTTCTTCGAGTTTCTCGTCTTTGGCATTCAGAGCTAGCTTGAATGTTGCTTGTGACCATGTGGTAGTCATATGCTACGTATTAGAGGTGGGCCAGTCGCAACTGGCCCTGATGAGGGTCTAGCCCCCGGGACCGGACCGTCCACTCGCGTGTCCTGCCATGGCAGCAGTCCTGCTCATGCGGCCAGTGGCTTCTGGAGCTACACCGTCTTCCTGCTCGGCTGGCCACTCCAGGCAGGGGGTGGGAGGACGAGGCAAATAAGCGTGTTACATAACAGCACTGATGTTACCTGTCTGTCATGGGTTTGGAGGGAAAGTTCCATCCTATGGGGAGTGGAAGGCGGGACATCAGGAGGAGGGGCTGTACTGTATAAATATGTGATGCCTGTGTGGTGGAGATG